TACAGGTAAAAGGTAATGAAGGACAGGTTGATGTAAAAAGCAACTTGACTTTATGCAAGTATTTGGGAAAATACTGTATACTGTATGAAACCGAGCCAGGACGTGAGAAGAAATTAAAGAACATTCGAAAACTAAAAACCTAAATCACTACTATCTGCCAAATATCACTTCCTCAGACGTACTCATCATCATCACTCTCACCCTCAACTGCACCAGTTATCAGATATGAAACTATACCTATAACTAAGCAGAACTAAAAATAGATTGTGCAGCTCAGCATTCCTTTAGTTTACAGTAACGGCTGCATATCAAGACCTGCTGTATTGTTAGCCTAATGAGTTATTTTACCAAATTAGTGAAGTTAAGCAAGCGAATTAAATGCTCAGTGTAACAAAGCCAATAGAACAACAGATCATACGGTTCACAAAGAACCCCAATGATCTCCATTTTTCAGACAGGACTGGGAGCTTTAGGTTGCAACAACAAAATAGCAAAAGTTATTCATACAGCTTCAATCACCCTTGAATGAAGTGCAGAGGAACGTCAGTCACAAAGCTTGGATACAAACTGAAGTGTGTCCATCGAACTGGATAAACTCACATTACAGGTAAAAGGTAATGAAGGACAGGTTGATGTAAAAAGCAACTTGACTTTATGCAAGTATATGGGAAAATACTGTATACTGTATGAAACCGAGCCAGGAAGTGAGAAGAAATTAAAGAACATTCGAAAACTAAAAACCTAAATCACTACTATCTGCCAAATATCACTTCCTCAGACGTACTCATCATCATCACTCTCACCCTCAACTGCACCAGTTATCAGATATGAAACTATACCTATAACTAAGCAGAATTAAAATAGATTGTGCAGCTCAGCATTCCTTTAGTTTACAGTAACGGCTGCATATCAAGACCTGCTGTATTGTTAGCCTAATGAGTTATTTTACCAAATTAGTGAAGTTAAGCAAGCGAATTAAATGCTCAGTGTAACAAAGCCAATAGAACAACAGATCATACGGTTCACAAAGAACCCCAATGATCTCCATTTTTCAGACAGGACTGGGAGCTTTAGGTTGCAACAACAAAATAGCAAAAGTTATTCATACAGCTTCAATCACCCTTGAATGAAGTGGAAAATTTTGCCTAATAAACTTTTCTGATCAAAACAGTCATTCTGATATTTATTCAGAAGCATGAGATAATACATATATGCCACCTCAAAACAGCACAAACTGAAGGAATTCAAGTTCACCCTAAGACCATTCATTCAGCTGAACCAAACCTGTGATCCTCAACAAACAGAAAAGAGTCCAGAGAAATGTTATAGTAGGAAACCTGGGCTACTAAAAGACAGACATTAGTGAAGTTTATGCAACAAACAACAGGGGAGCTGCAGTGACTGACAGACTTGTGTAACTTTAGGCTTAATCTCAGCAAACACAGCAATCGATTCACCTCTGAGGGTATCAGGTCAAACCAAGACCCTGCATAGGCATCTTATGTAGAGGTCGACCGATATGGGTTTTTCACTAGCCAATGCCGATATTTAGAAATCAGGGCAGCTGATGGCCGATATATGATGCTGATTTTTTTTGGTCGATATGTTGGACCAATTTTCTTTTTTCCCTTCATCTCATAAAAGTGAGTTTGAGTAAATGATTATTGCAGGGTACAAGATAGTTGTAGCCTAATTCAGAGTAATAATACATGGCTCAAAACTTAAGCACCTTCTTAAAACAGCTCTGAGGTATGCTTTTTGTTTATGTTTGCTGACAGACACCAGTGTTTCCCACAGACTTGCAAATGCAAATTCATTCTCCGCCAGCACGAGGCGCTGTTGGAGCGGGAGATATATAGCGGTTTCCCCGGTAACGGCTGTAAACGAATAAGCACTGCGTTCACAAACGGTACTTTATCAGGTATTACAGGAAAGACAAAATAAATGACACAAAAGCTTTTCTGAAGAAGGTTGGTTCTTTCCAAAGATACATTCATATAAAAGACACCAGCGCTGCATTTTAATTTTGAAACGTGCAGTGATCAGTTTATTCAACGAAGTAATAACTCAATGTATGGGAAACACTGGACACTGCTATAAGTCAAATGGCCAAGTGATAACAAAAATAAAAGTTCACACATATTACACAGTCTGCTGCTCATAACGGCTTAAGAGTGCACTGGCCACGAGCAATGAAATTGTGGACGCTCTTGTAGGACCTACACAAATTTCACGAGGAAAGTTAATGTGCACGTTATAAGCAGCCCAGAAGTTTCGTCTGAACTGCATGCGTTTCTACTTTCACATGCAAATGACTTGTACTTATGAATATGATAACTTTCCGGCATCAATTCTAGTAGGGTAAAACGTAATTACGCTTTTGAAACAGTCTGTTTTGCCCTGCCATCATTAGCTGAAGCTGTATGTGAACAGAGAGAGATTCTACGGTGTTCCGCAACAACGCTTAGCTGCCCACAGATGTGCCTGCCTATAAATCGGCCTAATTTGCAGCACAATCGGCCAATGCCGATTAATAAAAAATAAAAATAAAAAAAATTGCCCGATCAATCGGTCGACCTCTAGTCTTAAGTCCACTGACAGCATTGTCTGAAAGTGATAATGTTCTGTTACTTTGTGACTGATACTGCCGTATGCTTCATGCACAGGGCAAAATGACTAAGCTTTTGATCACAAATGCAACTTTGAGCATAAGAGACTTGCTAAGATAAGAGAAAAACATTCAATCTTACTGATCCTTGAACTTTTGAATAGTAGTGTATATTTGATAGAAAATAGAGTGGGACAGAAAAGCACCTTGGCAATTGACTTCCATGTATATATATTTTTTTTTTTTAAAGAAAAGAAAAAGTTTGTCAAATACCATAACATTAAGTTACTTTTAGAAAGACTGGGTTCTTCCTGAAAAACATGTGCTTGAAACAATACACTAACCTGAAGAACCTTTAATGCATCAATAACTTTATTCTTCAAAATGACCATACAACACAAGAATGTTATATACACACACAAAATATTCCTGATAAGAACTTTTGGTTTATGATTTAATTTCTTAACTCTTCAAAATCCAGGCCATTCCATGTTAACCCAACCCAGACAAGCAGTCTCTAAGTGAATGGGAAGGGAGCAAATCACAGATTAATATATCAACATTCGCACTGCTGTAATCCAGGTCAATTCAGTAGGATGTCCTCTACAGCAGAGTCAGAGGAGATACTCATTACACAGGCCTACAAACATCTGTGTGCAGTCAGGAGCATTTAATACAGACACAGTTAACTCCCTCCTGAGACGAGAAAATCAGTCCTAGTGTTCCTGCAAACACAAAGGCAAAATTCATCTGCCTTGAATACATCAACCACAGTAATCTCATCTGACATGAAACAGATCAAATAGAGCTGATGTCTCTGCTGGTCGTCTCAAAATCCATTGACGAGAAACCCCTTACAAACCCATGTTACCATGAACCACAGTTTCCCCCTAAATACTTGCTAAAGTTTGAGCTGCAACAATAAAACTGTGGTAACTAAGACACTGGCTGACACAAAGACTTCTGTATCTTTAAACAATAAAATCTCAAGTTGTATATTAAAAAAAGCTGTTATTAAAAAGTTAGTCATTTAGAAATAGACAAAAATGTACCAGTTATTTACTTTTCTTCTCCACCAATGAATAGTTCAGAAGGCAGCAAAGCATTAAAGGGGTCATATGATGCGATTTCATTTTTCCCTTTCTCTTTGGAGTGTTACAAGCTCTTGGTGCATAAAGAAGATCTGTAAATTTGCAAAGACAAAGAGATATGCGTTTCAAAAAGGCGGGGAGAAAAAATAATGTACAGTATGTGGAAAATAATGTGGTTTTTTACTTTAAACCGCATAAACATTACACCAAATAATGTTCTTTTTAGCAACATCATATGACCCCTTTAAGCATTGCTTTACAAAGCAACACAGATCAAAGTCCGGTCTGGAACACCATTTGACTGGAACGGGAATAGAGATTTTCCCTTTCCCCTCAAAGCGTTCTATAGTCCTTCCGCTCCAACTCCACTCCGTGTTTTTAAGTTTCCAGACCCCCAGTGAATGAAAGCAGTTGGAGAGATCTGGCGCGAGTGAAAACAGCAATGCTAATTTTCAAAGGCCCACTCCCTGCTGCAGGTAAATACACGTGATTCCGCTTAATTTACAAAACAACAAACTTAAACCTTAAAAAAAAAAAAAGGATCCCCCCTCTTCCCTCCAGGTAGATTACACAAACTCCAGTGCTACTACACGAATTATTAGCACTCTTAGAACACCAAACAGGTTATTAGACAAACGGGCCTAATTGTTTATACAGTTAGTATACAAATCAAAAATAGACATTTACGTTTATCTTCATTTAGCACATAAGTACAGACAGCTTAACACAAATGCCCCCAGACCAAATGCTCTAGGTCTTTAAAACCTTAAACCGAAAGTAAAGCCTCTCCAGCACTGTCTGGGCCAAACACCTTTACTGTCGTGAAGTATAAATACAGCAAACTAATTAATGCAATGAACTTCGCTAGTAATACGACCACCTGGCCTTTCGCAGAGAGGTTAAATGTAACCAACGAACAAAATAATCAGAAACACAAATCTCCTGATGCTGCCAAACTTAACAAGGGGTGGAAACAATTAAATGTAGGTCCACGAGACACATTTGCTGGTTTAAAAATCAATTTTAGACTCATTACAAACGCAGGAAGTAGTTGTTGTTGTTTAGTGCATATTAATTTATTATTTACACAGACGCAATAGGAAACGTGCCACAATCTAGCGCGTTTGTATCGCATTTCCCGTTTAACTTCGGCTTGTTGGATGAGAACATCGACTGGATGTTTGCATTCGAAAAGCTTGGGGAAACGCGAGTGTGTGCATGTGAACATACAGCAAAGACAAAAGACAGGCAAATATGTTTAACCGTAATTATTTCAGACCGAACCTGCAAATGATACTTACCGGAAACCATAAAACATAGGCGAAGGAGTGGATCGAGTATGCTCCTTTCAGTCGGTATTCCCGTGCAAATCCATGCCTATATCTCCTCTCTGTCTTTATGGCATAGGCTTGTATTGGGTGAAATGATGGCTGCTTCCAGCGACAGACTCCATCTCTCCAGTCACGTGGTCAAATAGCTCCCAGCTGCTGCTGAACGTCCCTCCCAATTGAGCGGAGTTGTTGTTTAGCTCGTTTACCCTGATAAACCCTGCTAATTGTGGACTACATAACGATAGTATAATCACTGTGTATGTGCATGTCAGATATACATTTAGGCGCTAGAACTTTTTCTTTCATTTTTCTTTTAATTTACCATCTTTATAGTCCTAACAGTTAGCAATTCAAACTAAATAGTTTTATTTGTGTCCCATGGCCTCCCTAGCCTATATTTAAAATATTGATATGCCCTGCAGCGAGTAGGCTACCTCTGTTTATTAATTAACTCAAATTTGATATATTTCATAATATTTTTATTTTAGGGATTTATAAGTAATTTTTTCTTATTTTAAGTAATATCTTGTGCTTAAACCAATATTTTTTGATAGTAGTTTGATTATTTAGATACACGACAGTATACAAGTTGACAATTTATTTAAATGAATTCAGTCATTTGACAAATGGATGCTACACTGGTTGCTTTATGTAATTAAAGGATTATCCATTCTTGTGTTCACTGATCATATCAAATTTGATGCGTTTCATGTTATTCTATTCAAGGAAATTATATTTAGTTGTTTTCGCTAAGTAATTATATTAACGTAAACCTTGTGCATAAATATAGATCTTTTAAGTTTCATGTTGATTAGATTTTTTAGGTAGCAGTGTGATTATTTTAATTATACAATAGTATAACATTTTTTATTTAAATATTTTTAGGGATTTATAAGGAATTTTTTCTTATTTTAAGTAATATCTTGTGCTTAAACCAATATTTTTTGATAGTAGTTTGATTATTTAGATACACGACAGTATACAAGTTGACAATTTATTTAAATGAATTCAGTCATTTGACAAATGGATGCTACACTGGTTGCTTTATGTAATTAAAGGAAATATCCATTCTTGTGTTCACTGATCATATCAAATTTGATGCGTTTCATGTTATTCTATTCAAGGAAATTATATTTAGTTGTTTTCGCTAAGTAATTATATTAACGTAAACCTTGTGCATAAATATAGATCTTTTAAGTTTCATGTTGATTAGATTTTTTAGGTAGCAGTGTGATTATTTTAATTATACAATAGTATAACATTTTTTATTTAAATATACTTTTAAAATAATTGAGTTAAATTACTTTAATCACTTTAAATTACTTAATTAATTCCTTGAACCATTCGACAAATGAGGTTAATATTGCCTTTTAATAAATAGTTATTTTCTGACAGATTATTTAGTTAATTTCTGTTAATATTTCTGACTTTGTTGTTTTGTCATAGTCTGTCTCTCGCTTAAAGGGGGGATGCATCCTCCAATATTCAGAGTAGTGATTGGTTGATATTGCTTTTCAATGACCCCCACTCTTGAATACTTGGTCACAGCCTCGTCTTCAATCATAGTAATGTCTGCACTTTCATATTCACTTTCATCCTGACTGCACTCCAACCTAGATGTTGTTGCACCCCTCTCCCCTTTTGTGTGATGACTGCATTTCCATGCTTGAAGACACTGATTCATGTGGCTCCTCTCTATATGACTCAACAGACAATGAGGCATCTTGGCAACCCAAACTGTCTGGAGACACAGTAATAACTCCGCCATAGACCGTACACAATGTATCACTCCTCCTGAGCCTATCTCTGTGGTTTCTAGTGTCTCTCAAACCATTCTGTTGTAGGGTGGAGTAGATGTTTTCCCTCTGATGTAGACTTCAGTGACAGCGAAGAGGTGAGCAGTGATGGTAGAAACAAACAGCTAGTTATATTAAACTAGCTACGAATCATATTCTTGCTTTAACCATATTATTACCACTGAGGGACATGTGAAGTATTTTACTGTCCCCTTGTGTTCACTCTGATTACTCACAAATCCAAAGCTTCTTTGCATGCCTAGAACAATCACACAACAGAAAGGCATATTATTTACCTACAAAATCCCAGATCTTACAAATCCCTTTGTTTCCTAATTGTTTTATTGGCCTTTCTGACACTGGTTTACATTGGCTTTGCTTTTCAGTAGTTTCATGAAAGGTTTTCAACCTTCTCAGTACCAGGGTCTCATGGACCCCCAGTATAAGAAGCCTAGATATCCTCAGAAACACTTTATAATTTAAAATTGTTATTAAAAACATTAAAGGAACAGTTAACCTAAAATTGAACATTTTCTCATTCCCCGGCCATCAAAGATGTAGATGAGTTTACTTCTTCATCAAAACAGATTTGGAGAAGTTTAGCATTACATCACTTGCTCACAAATAGATCATCTGCCGTGAATGGGTGCCATCAGAATGAGAGTTCAACATCTGATAAAAAACGTTACAATAATCACACACAACTCCAGTCCATCAATTAGCATCTAGTGAAGTTAAAATCTGTGTATTTGTAAACATATCCATCATTGAGACATTTTTTAACTTCAAACCTGGCTAAATTATGGCATTAATTGCTGTCTCCAGTAAAAGAAAAGAAAAGCCATCACGTCTGAATCAGGAGAGAAATATGCACAAGTGTACAAGTGAACACAGTTCAAACCGGTGTTAAACAAATATTTCGGTGGGTATTGATGTGAGCTGACACGAGGGGATGGACTTTTTTTTACTGAAGAAGCTATAATGGATTATGGACTGATGTTTTACTATTAAAATGCCCTAATGATGGATTTGTGTATTACAAACATGCAGCCTTTTGCTTCACATAATGTTAATTGATGGACTGGAGTCGTGTGGATTATCGTGATGTTTTTATCAGCAGTTTTGAGCTCTCATCTGTCGGCACCCATTCACTGCAGAGGATCCATTAGTGAGCAAGTGATGTCGTGCTAAATTTCTCTAAATCTGTTCATGGCCTGAGGGTGAGGAAATTTTCAGCAAATATTTAATTTTGGGTGAATTATTCCTTTAACCAACATACTTTATGGACCCCATGGAGTACTTTCAGGGATCTCTGGTTAACAACTCTGGGTTTAGTTGTTTTAGATTTAGATGATTAGCCTCAGTTCTTTATGCCAAACCAAGTGTGTTTCAATAAGCCTGAATAATGGCAAGCATACCGACGTTGCACAATACCACAGACTGTTTTTGTTTAGCCAGACAACCACTGCTACCTTTCACTTGAGAAAAAGCAAACATTCATCTTAGCTCTTTCTCTTCTGCTCGGAAAGCCATACTGTCCATATTAAACTATATAAATGTCACAAACAGTCAGACTCGGACTCTAGTAGAAAAAGTTACTGTGTACTTTCTAAGAATTATGCTGTCAGCTGTGGAAAGGGATTACACAGTTACAGTTAAAATATTTAGGTGTTTATTGCTTTTACAGGAGCCAAAGAAAAAAAATGTAAAATGGTTACTCATGATATACTGAATCTTTCCTAAAACTATTGTTACATAACAGTTTCTCTCATATCCAGAAAAGCACATCTTTTAACACCAGCTCCATTGTATTTATTCCATTGCAGTCTGGTTCCCTTTTCCACCAGCAGCAACAAACAAGTGCTTGATTCTGAGTGTCTCACCTGCTATGTTTCCTCACCAGAGCTCCAAACATCTCTGCACAAGCACCTCATTCTTTTCAGGAACTGAAATTGAGTTGCAGGAATGTGAGCATGATAGCGTGTCATAAGGAAAAGGAAATGTACTGTGAGCTAATCCCATCGTCACACAACACTCTGACACATTTGCTCTCTCTGTGCTCTCTGTGAGTCATTCTTACAGAAGGCTGGGTAAACTTTCTCCAGCACAGATGCTGTTTATTTCATATGGAAGCCATAAGTGAGGCCGTGCTGTGAAATGAAGGACTGGCATACTGGTGAACGGATATTTCGCTTTGTATACTGTAAAACAGCCTGATAGTTTATTTTCAGATTTAGTTTGGATTGAAGCATTTGCTTGTGTAGTTTTAAATCTTTGTGCTGGTTATTGCATATGTTGGCACTTTATTGTCTTTACAAAAGAATGTTCTTATGTAAGAGCTCAGCTTAAACTGTGAAATTTGGCATTCGACATATGCATGTTTTTGCATTCAAGTGAAATATATGGGCTTCATTGTTTTCCTTTATCCTAATTAGCAGGCATAATTTTTCCAGGCTGATTATTTGCTTAATGTTACTACTAGAGGCGTTGACATTCAAAGCAGTTTTGGAAGGTGAATGGAGGTGATGTGGAAAAAGGAAAAGTTGTTATATAAAATTTTGTTAGGATTAGAATTTTATGATTGTCATTGAGAATGAACTCTTGAGCTACAGAACAATAATGCACTGGGATGGCTTAAGAATAAGGGAAAGACCTTTCCTGCCACCTTGTGTTTAGAATTGCATGGCACAACTGCAGGAAGCCTTCAAATATATTCTTAAATGTCCTGAGAATATATGAAGGTCAAAGCTAAAGCGCAGAGAATATATGGGTTTTTAGGTAACAGATTTACAATGCTAAAATTCAAATAACGTGAGTTTGATAAATGCTATTAGACTATTATTATAATTATTTTTTTTGTATTATTTTTATTGCCCTTGTCAAAAAATCCTAAAAGATTCCAATAAGAAAATTTTTGAATTTCTATCATATTTTTAAACCATTCCCATAAGATTCCTGTCTAGAACCTTTGTCAAAAAATCCTAAAGGATTCCAATAAGAAAATTGTTCTAATTAGAATTTCAAATTTTTTTTGTGGAACACAGATTAGTCCTGCCACTTTAAGCTGTTACTCCTAATGTCAGCTCGTTAGGTGTATAAGACACCTGTCCACACAATCTGTGTCTTCCATTCCAACCTCTCCCACCACCATGGGCAAGACCAAAGAGCTGTCAAAGGATGTCAGAGACAAGATTGTAGATCTGCACAAGGCTGGAATGGGCTACAAGACCATCAGCAAGAAGCTTGGTGAGAAGGAGACAACTGTTGGTGTGATTATTCGGAAATGGAAGAAATACAAAACAACTATCAATCGGCCTCGGTCTGGAGTTTCGTGCAAGATCTTGCCTC